ATGCAAAGTTGATATTCCATCTGCCTGCTAACATCAAGCTTATGCCATCAAATAAGGAAATACTATACTAGGTAAAAAGTGTGAAAAATGACGAAAAATGACCTGACCTTGACGTTTTTCCAATAAATAGCGCCAATATCCATCAGCTGATCAAATGACCTACGTCCGTCTACAAACTGCCCGACAACAGTACCCGGTTCACTCAAAGTTCGCGCGACATTTACAAGTGATAATGTATATCATAAAAAACATTTATTCTGGCATAAGTAGGAAACACCAACTTTGGCAGCCTGTAGACGGACGTAGGCCGTTTGATCAGCTGATGGATATTGGCGCTATTTATTGGAAAAACGTCGAGGTCAGGTCATTTTTCGTTATTTTTCACACTTTTTACCTATATTCCTGCTAAAAGTTGATGAAATGCGGCTTATTTAGCAGGAAGAGCATATGGTGGTGTCCTTATCTGGACGTAGGTCACAGGCAGTTTACAGTTTGCTGAAAATACATAAATTTTCCGTTCATAAAATGTCTAATTACTTGAAGACACATGTTATAACGACTTTTTTCGAATTTATTTTGCAGTTTAATGGATTACACATGGACATGATGAGGTGGGATAGCTCGTTTTGGTAATTATTTCACTTACTTGGTTGTGTACTTTGCCTAAATGCTGACAAGGCTTCTCCACATGTATTTATTTAAGAAAAATCTGCAGAAATACTTAAAAGTTATATATGCATAGTATTTCCTTATTTGATGGCATAAGCTTGATGTTAGCAGGCAGATGGAATATCAACTTTGCATTATTGAAAAATGTTGACTAACATAATTATATACAGTTCAAATCATTATTTTGTCATTTTAAGCATATTTAATGGTTAATTATTGTGTTTACACTGATAACAATGTCTACATCTGTATAATTCTTATGTTCTTTTTCAGATGATATCTACTTTCGGGAATTTCATGGATTCGGGTGATAAAGAAAAAGATACCTGCACTGTTGTCGATTTTGTATTACATGTTAATTCATTAATAAATGTATTCCTCGTTATTCGTTTGCTTATTCTACTTGATAAGACGGAATATTAGCCTTGCGTAATTTGTGAGGTATAGAGTATATCAGGCTATCTTTGAAATACTAAGTAGGAGCAGATATTCAGAGAAGCCTATTGGTAAGAGATTATGTTGTAGTCAAATAGAGTATTAAAGTAAAGTGAATCAACCTTGACCTTGGCGGCTTTTTCCAATTTTTGGGCCTGCTACTATAATATCTACATTTTGCATCCAGTCCTCCGTTTACCAGCATTTATTTATCACCTAAACATGAATTCCAACAGAATCATTTACTCTCGTAACTTCATTAATCATCTACGACCAAATGACTTTCATATTTCAAAGAAACCAAGGAGGAAACATCGTAGTGGTTGGCAGAGAGCTCTCAAACGTATACCAATTCACATAACTACGGTCCCCGTCATAATGAACACAAACTGTCGCTCTCTGCCAAACAAGATAATGTACCTACAATCCTTGACGTCAACTGATACGTATCATAACACCGCCATAATCACATTACAAGAAACGTGGTTGCATGAACTGTATGATGACAACCTTATCTCACCAAAGGATTTTATTTTATTTCGTCAAGACCATCAATGTTGTAATAAGAAAAATGGTGGTGGCGTTGCAACTTTTATTCACTCCAAATGGTCTGTCTCAAATAACGTTTGCTTCACCTTCTCAAATGACTTCATTGACAGTATTACTGTCAAATGTCGCCCCAAACATCTCCAAAAATATAAACAAATATACATTACAAACATGTACATTTCTCACAACTGCTCTCCGTCTGATCTACCTAAATTTGCTGATGAATTCACCATGTCTGATAATGCCCAATTCGACAACTCTCTATGTCAATGTAGTTTAAGATTGAACGATCAATTCTTGGTTGTTTGCTCAAAACCAACATCCCCAATTTTCGCGGAGGCATCAATACGACAGTCATCGTCTCATCGGTCGCTGTTCAGAAAGAAGAGTAAAACATCGTCAGAAGAAATATTATGATTTATTATTGTAATATTTGTTCACAGACCTTAGTGGAATTATTTTTTATACGTTGCTGTTACAATAAAGAATTCTCGAGTGGCCAATCGGTGTTTTGGTTTTTTCGTCCGTTATTACTAAGCGTTTCTGAAAAACTGCAAGGAACAGCGTGGGCCCGAGCGTAGCAAGAGCTGGGCATTAACGGTTTATGAGACGTGGCTGACAGTTTCTGATGGTAGAAACAGATTCTGGCGGATTCAAACAGTTGGTGAAAGTTTGGATAGTCACCGTTCATCTTTCCTGGTGCCGGTCAAGTCCTCTTTGAACAAGCAATATCTGGAACGTTTTTGGAATTGGGTCAAGTTCAACAATGCCTGGGTCAAAGAAGGGACACAGTGTCTTGGATGCAAACAGGAAAGTAAGTCATGGTGACTTGTCTGTTACTTGTAACGATGTGTCTGATGTTAAGCATGACATGGTTGATGTTACTGTTTCGCCGTTCAGGGATAATAGGAACATCAAACTCCCTAAATTTGAACCACGGTGTTTCGATGGAAACCCGGCTGATTATTTACAATTTGTAAAGGAGTTAGAGATTATGTTGAATAGCTTTTATTAAGTGATGAATTGAAATTGATGTATTTGATGAGATATTGCACTGGAATTGCTGCAAGAGGTATACAGTGCTGTAAGTTTATGAAGCCAAAAGAGGGCTACTACGAGGCTATGAGCATATTACGTCAAAGGTTTGGAAGACCTTCGATGATTGTAGGGAAATTATTCGAGGCTGTTAAGGGTAATGGTGGTCATTTACAGGAGGACTCCCAGGCACTTACTGAGTTTTTAGATAATTTGCTAATTTACAAGAATGCAATGATTTCGATGAATCGCATGAGTGACCTCAACTCGAGTTTTATACTAGAAGTAATAGCAAGACGCCTACCTACTCGACTGCAAAGGAAGTGGGTGAAGATAAGCTCCCGTATGGAGGATGAGGGTATCGGGCCAAAATTTGATGATATCCTGAAACTAGTAAAAGATAGTGTCAATCAATCTATGAGCAAGTTTGCCAGTATATTGAATCTCACCCCTAGAATAGAGCAGTCTCAGAGCGAAATGCAATCATTGATGACGAGTAGGCCCCAGAGAGGTGGATATCGAGAAGGCTCCATGATGTCCAGTAATGCATATAGACCTAATGAGTGTAACAGGTTTCGTAGTACATCCTCAACAGATATGTTACAAGATGCAAGACAAACACGGTTGTGTTTTACACGTTTGCAAGAGGTGCATACAAAGGTGAACTGTGAACCAGTGAGCAAGTTCAGTGATAAGCTAAATGTCAAATCGAGGTCAGACTCCGAATTGTGTGATGATAACGGTGCGGTCAAGAGGTCTGTAGTTACAACTGTTAAGCCATTGTTGAATAGAGTGTCACGGAATAGAGTTGTCAGCCACGTCTCGTAAACCGTTAATGCCCAGCTCTTGCTACGCTCGGGCCCACGCTGTTCCTTGCAGTTTTTCAGAAACGCTTAGTAACAACGGACGAAAAAACCAAAACACCGATTGGCCACTCGAGGATTGTTTATTGTTACACCAACATATAAAAATAATGTTTTTACTAGGGTCTTTGAACAAATATTACAATAATAAATCACAATATTACTTCTGATGGTTTACTGATGACTTCTGCTGAACAGCGACCGATGAGACGATGACTGTCGTATTGATGCCTCCGCGAAAATTGGGGATGTTGGTTTTGAGCAAACAACCAAGAATTGATCGTTCAATCTTCAACTACATTGACACTCCCCGGCAAAATGGGATCCAAACCTTTTTTCCATCACGACCAATGCACGTTGACTTGAATGCCATTGCGAGAACCTGGGTCACACGGACAGAGCTGAAATGGAAAACAAGCAGGAAAGCAAGCACACCACAAGCATACCCACAGCACAATCTAACTCATCGCTTACGACCTGCGCCTCCAGACAGAGACCTCCTCTTGACATCTTGCAACACAATCGCCACTTGCTAGAATGACTCTTGCAGAATGCAACGTGACCATAGCACCAACTCATGATACTCTACGCACATCCTCTTATCTACTCACTACCAATTACCACTGCAATCGCTTGTCACTCATTCTGCCCCAGTTCTAGTAGCGGTGACGCATGCGAGCCTCAGTCGTTTACACTCTTTCTCCCCGGCGTGTGGGACCACAGCTGATAATTATCTTTGAGTGCATTTCATTCTCAGAAATAGCCTCCCCGGCGTATACGACCCATCTGCTGTCTCTGGCATCAATCAATTCATTCACGGATGTAGAAGACTCGAAACAACTTCAGAAGTAATCATGACGAAAATTTTAACAAAATTATGCATAACAACAAGATAAGAAAACAAGAAGTAAACACAATTAATCCAAAAACACCAATTGATTGGACACACCACACGTATATAAAAACATTACACACAAATTCGCAGTTCATTTCTTGATGGAATTCATTTGAAGAATCGCAGGGCTAACACCAGTACGCCTAAAACCCTTCTCAGGTTGACGATTGTAAGTTGTGGAATGTCCGGACACAAACAAGATTAACCAACAATTACAATAATTGGAACTCACACAACTATTTAACACAAACATATGTACAATCAATACTTCAAATGTTGTGGATTCTGACACGAAAAACTACTCTTGAAGAACTGTAGAACTTACAGCAGTACGCCTACATTCCTTCTCAGGTTGATGATACAAGTGGAAGTCGTCCGGACACAAACAGAATTACCAACAGCTGGATGACAGATGATATCAATTCAGTATATACAATATGAACTTATGTACAAGATCACACACCAAGCACATTGGACTGCTCATTGATGCGCTACCCTTTGAAGAATTGTAGGACCTACAGCAGTACGCCTACAACCCTTCTCAGGTTGACGCTCTAGGTTGGAAAATCGTTGCAGAGATCATTTGCTGACTTCCTTCTATCAGCTATATCCTCAAATCTGAACGGTAACAGGCTCATGTCATTGTATCGTAGAATATAGATGACGAACAAACACACGACATATCTCATCAACCAAGTATAGAAACAGAGTAATTTACACCAAAGATAATAACATTCAAATAGTAACTTGAAACTAGAAATGCCTTTATTCGTGCAAGTCAATTTAACAATTACTCTTTCGTTTACACTTGGCTTATCCTCTCTAAACTGACCATTGATATTCGTCTTTTCAAACGAACTGATACTAGCATAGTCATTGCACAAGATACTTGAGTTGATGGGCGACTGTTTCATTGTGGATGACAACACCAACGATGACCGATTGATATCAGTTGATGAAGTCAGCGGTGGATCAGAAGCTGTTGTTGCTCGACTTTCAGAAATTTGTCTACCTGCAAGACCACCACCCCTGGTGTCTTTTACTATCAGCTCAGGTTTAACACTAGCATCTGATGATAGGTGGGCTACACGCTGATCAATTACACCGACTGTCTCACAAGTATGCACACCTTCTGGAACTGCATCTTCGTTCAATTCTACTTCACGTTGTAGTTGTACAGAATCTTTATTTAACTTAGCAGTAGTAGGCATTCCCCTCATTTCATCATGATCAACCAAAGACAACTGTGAAGTATCATGATCATTACCACAAATATTCAATTTACCGCCAAGTTCATCATTTTCAAACTCTTTAATAACAGAAGTAGACAGTTTTGGTTCCTCCTCACAAATTATTAAAGGTTTTATATCTTCACTCTGACTAGTTATACTTTGTAAACTTTTGGAGTCAGAACTGCATTCTGAAGCAGTAACTCTATTCTGTGACACTCTATTCAACAATGGCTTACCAGTTGCAACTACAGACCTCTTGACCGCACCGTTATCATCACACAATTCGGAGTCTGACCTGGATTTCACATTTAGCTTATCACTGAACTCGCTCACTGGTTCACAGTTTACTTCTGTATGCACCTCTTGCAAACGTGTAAAACACAACCGTGTTTGTCTTGCATCTTGTAACATATCTGTTGAGGATGTACTACGAAACCTGTTACACTCATTAGGTCTATATGCATTACTGGACATCATGGAGCCTTCTCGATATCCACCTCTCTGGGGCCTACTCGTCATCAATGATTGCATTTCGCTCTGAGACTGCTCTATTCTAGGGGTGAGATTCAATATACTGGCAAACTTGCTCATAGATTGATTGACACTATCTTTTACTAGTTTCAGGATATCATCAAATTTTGGCCCGATACCCTCATCCTCCATACGGGAGCTTATCTTCACCCACTTCCTTTGCAGTCGAGTAGGTAGGCGTCTTGCTATTACTTCTAGTATAAAACTCGAGTTGAGGTCACTCATGCGATTCATCGAAATCATTGCATTCTTGTAAATTAGCAAATTATCTAAAAACTCAGTAAGTGCCTGGGAGTCCTCCTGTAAATGACCACCATTACCCTTAACAGCCTCGAATAATTTCCCTACAATCATCGAAGGTCTTCCAAACCTTTGACGTAATATGCTCATAGCCTCGTAGTAGCCCTCTTTTGGCTTCATAAACTTACAGCACTGTATACCTCTTGCAGCAATTCCAGTGCAATATCTCATCAAATACATCAATTTCAATTCATCACTTAATAAAAGCTATTCAACATAATCTCTAACTCCTTTACAAATTGTAAATAATCAGCCGGGTTTCCATCGAAACACCGTGGTTCAAATTTAGGGAGTTTGATGTTCCTATTATCCCTGAACGGCGAAACAGTAACATCAACCATGTCATGCTTAACATCAGACACATCGTTACAAGTAACAGACAAGTCACCATGACTTACTTTCTTGTTTGCATCCAAGACACTGTGTCCCTTCTTTGACCCAGGCATTGTTGAACTTGACCCAATTCCAAAAACGTTCCAGATATTGCTTGTTCAAAGAGGACTTGACCGGCACCAGGAAAGATGAACGGTGACTATCCAAACTTTCACCAACTGTTTGAATCCGCCAGAATCTGTTTCTACCATCAGAAACTGTCAGCCACGTCTCATAAACCGTTAATGCCCAGCTCTTGCTACGCTCGGGCCCACGCTGTTCCTTGCAGTTTTTCAGAAACGCTTAGTAATAACGGACGAAAAAACCAAAACACCGATTGGCCACTCGAGGATTGTTTATTGTTACACCAACATATAAAAATAATGTTTTTACTAGGGTCTTTGAACAAATATTACAATAATAAATCACAATATTACTTCTGATGGTTTACTGATGACTTCTTTCTGAACAGCGACCGATGAGACGATGACTGTCGTATTGATGCCTCCGCGAAAATTGGGGATGTTGATTTTGAGCAAACAACCATGAATTGATCGTTCAATCTTCAACTCCATTGACAAATGTATTTATTATTGATATATTGCGCTTACTTAATTTATTACACTTTAGTGATTCACCTTAGCACTTTGACTTTTCTAAAACAGCTTCCGACCCCTTGTAAACGTTTTACTTACCTCAATATTGGTTGGTTATCGTATGCCTACAAACACGGGATGAGAACGAAACGAAGTCGATTTTCCCGCTCAACCTGGAGGACAACTGTACAATTCAATAACTATACGGCCTGGTTCAGACCATGAGTATAATTAAAGATATATATTTATATCAAATATTTAACTGTTGAAACATTATTAACTTGTAGACAATCTACGATTTGACATTATACCATACTTGATCGTGCCTGTAAAAATGGCATGCATTTTCATGTGCATTTATGTTTATAGGAAAATATAAATTATTATTATACCTATTGGAAAGAGTCCAACGACGGGCAACAAACGGAGTGGTTGGTCTCCGAAATAAACCATATGATGAAAGACTGAAGAAATTACGCCTGTTCACACTTAGCTACTATTTTTTTTAGGGGGATTTGATTACTGCCTACAAAATAACAAATGACCAAAATCACCCAAACAACGGTGTTGTGCCATTGAGTAGGTATAGGCTCCCAAGTGGAAATTCCGGGATGATAGCTCACCAGAGGGCAAGGACCCGGGTGCGCTCCCACTTCTTTTCACCGCGGGTTTGCCGTCCATGGAATTCTTTACCGGCAGAGGTAGCTATGGCACCGTCTTTGGATGCCTTTAAGCGAAGACTGGACAACCATGCGGTGACACAAGGACTGCATCCAAATGGCCTATCCCCTTAAAATCGCATACACCATTCAGGGGTAGACAACCAAACTCGTCGTTTTACTTCTTTACATTCTCTCCCGTCCTACTCTCCGGACAAATTTAACTGCACTTATTATTATTATTGCCGATACATAAATATTATTCAAGTTTAATCCACTGACTGTTGTTACGCTCTCCTATTTCCTTTTCTGTCTGTTAGTCTGAATAACTTCACTAATTATATCTATTATTATTATCATCATCTCTTTTCTCTTGTCGACGATAGCGGGGGACCAACTGGAGAAAGGATCAACTCCATTCACAGTAGTAACAGTCTTAACACCTCATGCTACAAACCACATATAATTAATCCCAGCACTACTCCATTTGGAGTCAACCAAAGCTACGACATTCGTGTAGCGGGACGAGCTACGCAGAAGTTTACCGAAGTTTAGGAACCCATGCCTTACAATCAAGAAGCGAGCACAAAGAAATCAAATTGGTTTATACTAGCTCGTAAAAACGATATTGGATATTGGACCAAGCGAACAGATAAATAACCTTGAGCAACGAATCAGCTGTGTAATGAGATAAAAACTACCATGATACTACTAAATGAATTTCTTATTTCCTCTTTTTCAGAAAGAAAGGCTGTCCTGGCTGTACTAGAGCAAGAAGAGGATCGGTTGTCGAAGCTTGTTATAATTGACGATATTTAGCTTGTACCCGGACAAATTAAGACCTTGTGTGGTGTAATAAAAGGCCTTTTCTTCCGCATCTTCGTCTTCTTCCTTCGTTGGGTGTGTCTGCTGCTTCTGAGTGTTACAGCTGACTCTGTTTTATCCAGACGTACTTATGGGTGTTGCATACTTTTGCCGTTGCAAAATTCGCTCCGGATCTTGTTTGGAGTACCGTTTGGAGAACGGACTGATAGGAAGGTCTAAAAATTGCTAATTTGAAGGTGTCATTCATACACAAAATACAATAGGTGCATCGAACGGTTTATTTGTTGCTGAAATGAGTGCCGAACCAGAAAATCAGTTCGAGAACGTGTGCCGTTCGTTTTTAATTTACAGATTTCTTAGTACTTTTGATAAAAAAAATATAATGGAGGGAGATTGAGTGCGAATCAGCAATAGGTATTGAGGATATATGAAATCATCCTCCAGAAAGGATATATTGAGAGACTTTGTCAAAGTCCCCTGGAATGTAAACCTCAAACCCACTTCAGGTTTTAGAACATAGTGCATCATGACGTTAAGTGATAACTTTGGATCACTCTGAAGTCAACTAGCCATCTTAGCAGTCTACAAGTAATAAGAATTAAATATGTCAACTCACACATCGCTGGTTGTACTTTCCGTCTCTTAAAGATGCTTCCAGAATCTCTAACTGGTCTTCATTCTCGATCGGAAACTCAAGTGTTAATTCACCGTTTGCTGGAATGTTGGTTTGCAGTCGAGATTTATTTATTTTTTAAATTCTTGATTACAGCTTGATTATACACTGCATTTTTGGTGCATGTGTGGAATTTTCAGGGCGAAGTTAAACTTTCGACACCACTAACTACCAATCAGCGAATTATCCAATGAGATTCACTAACGATGTCGAATTATCCAATGAGGTTCACGAACGCAGTTCAATGTTGTATAGCGCTTGATTCATTTCTAATGCATGACCTTACAAAGCTATTGTTGCAATTCGAGGAGGTTAGCGTTTTCCAGTATTTCTTGGATTTGAGTTGCGACGGAAAGAGCGAATTTGTTTGTGTGGTGGTATCATGACTTTAAAAAGCCATACCAAATCAACTGATGGGTTTGTTCATCGTTGTGCTGTATGTTTGAAGCCTACTAACGCTAGAGAGGGTAAGCTGATAATTTTAATATTTCGTCGGAACTTTTTTCGCTAGGTCGCTTCTCTCCCTAAGGATAGCAGATAGAAAAGCAACTACTCTTATACCTATTATTACCAGACTTGTTAAGCGGGGGTCAATTATACACACCGACGAGTGGAAAGGCTACAATTCACTGTCATCTCTGGGATATATTCATCATAGAGTCAACCATTCAAGTGATTTTGTGGATCCCGTTACGAGAACACATACAAATTCTATTGAAGGATTTTGGGGCAGGTTGAAAAATAGGATAAGGGCTATAAATGGATCTCAAAAGGATCTCATTTATAGTCATTTGGATGAATATATGTACAGGATATGGTGTCACTTCTCCATTGACAGTCCCATGCTAAACTAGGAGATGATTCTGTCACATGTTCGAGTAAGATATCCCATGTAACTTTTTTATTCTCTATTTTATGCTTTTTTCTACAAATATACATTTCCATTTATCATATATGCCTCTTTAATGTGACTGGTCCGTTCAAGGTCGTTTGCTGATTGGTTGTTAGTGGTGTCGAAAGTTTAACTTTGCCATTTTCAGCATGGATATCTGTAGCCCAAATTTCGCAGGCCGACCATAGACATCAGGTATGTGTCGGCAGGGGATCAAATCTCGGACCATATGCATGGTCGGCGTGAGTCCTAACCACTTTAGAATAACAAAAGCAGAAGTGGTTTAAAGCATCCAGAATGAAATGGTTAAAAATATAATTGTCAACATATATTGGCGACCGGTCAGCATATTAGTAGTTTTGACTTGACAAGTTTGTCGCGGGTTTAAAAAAATGACATACACTTGAAAAGCTAATTTACAACCACGACTAAACTTAACTGGACCCCGAGGCATACTATGGAGATTTTCTTCATCATCTTTGGATGACTTTATGACACCACGAGCCATCTCAATGGCACATTCTGTTGACGCCTAAAAGACCAGCATTATGAACGAAAATGCAACCTGATATTGCAGTTATTGAACATAAGTCATTGTCTCAAAGTGCACGCCACTCAACAGGAAACGGTAACCATATTTCAAACTTTTCTTTTGGAACGCCTTGAACAACCCAATTTCCATCTAAGGGTAGGACAACGAAGAGAATTTTCGGCGGAAATTTCGGTATTGGGCGAAAACTTGCCAGGCGCAGTGGTTCGGGATATACAGGTGTTTCCATGCGTTCTTCGCGCTCCAGATCAAACAGATGACTTTTCCATGGACATGACTTTTCTAACACTATAATAGTTTTTGAAGGATCAACATCTGCACGACATTTCATTGCCTTCTCCACGATATTCCTAGCAGGCCACCAGCAAGGTGCAAAATCTGTCTGTCTGTCTGGATTCAACATAGAACTTGGCACCGAAGTGCACCAGTTCGAGTTACCACGTTTCGAATAGCACACAAAGGTAGACAAGAAGATGAGGGAAGAGAATCAATAGAGTTTGACAAGTATGAGAGTGAAACAAAATGGGTAATGGTAGATAGGAATGTGAAAGAATACAGAGCCTGAATACATCTGCCCTGGCCATTGACAACGATTTTGAGCCATATCACCTATTGTCTCCAGCCATTGATTCCTAGAGTCCCGAGGCCCCAACCCGGGAGTCTGCATCTCCCTACCTGCTGATTCAGTTTAATTGTCAAGGATTTCATGGATTGATGCCAATTTTTTGTTTGGCCACCACTTACTGTTTTCCAGCCTGCACCTATATCAGCTAGCAATGCCCGTCGGTGTGGGGGTAGGCGATGGTTAGGCATGCGCAGCACGTCACCTAGCCATCTCAGTCTATGTAACTTTATAGCCTCATCGATTGATTTTCCCTCTTTGCCCAACGCTCTACGCCTAACGTCAACATTACTTACCTTATTAAACCACCTAACGTGAGACAGAGATCGCAGACATCTATGATCGAAAGCAGTCAACCTTTTCATGTCTTCAACTCGTATTTGCCATGTTTCAGAGCCATAGAGAAGGACGGAGCGAACTGCTGAGCAGTACACACGTCCCTTGGTAGATAGCCAACCGGATGTCACGCGAAAGCAGCTCGAGCTTTTTGGATCCGTGCTGAGATTTCGTCGCCAATCAGTCCGTTGGTGCTGATACAACTTCCCAAATAGGTGAAGTGGTCAACATGTTCTGTCACTTCACTCCGTATCACTAAGCTAGTAGTTGACGTAGTCCAGTTATGTAACATCATCTTGCATTTTACAGGGGCGAATCGCACGTCAAACATACGAAGATTGCTGCTCAAGGTGTTCAGAAGACTCTGCTGGATTTTGTCATCATCCTCCCCTAACAGGACTATTTCATCTGCATATTCTAAGTCCATAAGACTATACCCTGGTAACAAGTCGATTCCTAAGTCGTTACGTTCAGTTAAGGATACTTCCACTGGCATATCTATGATGAAGTTAAACAGGAATGGGGAAAGTGGACATCCCTGTCGGACACCACTTTTACTAGAATCACCAGAGATATGCCCACCTCTTTATACGCATCTCTCTGATGAGGTAAACGCTGAGAAACTGTCCAGTGTTCTAAATTATAAATAGTGACTACAGACCTAACCTATTTTCTCTCCTTTCGTTCCCGCGAGATGGTGGTATCACCTTGGAAGGCATATGTTTTTATATATAAGCTGTTTATTTGACAGTCTCTTATCCAGTTACTTCTCTCTACTGAGCTTCAAAACATATAAGCAATTATTTTCTCATATATAATCCAGTATGCTGAACCTAATTTTATAGAGTTAACTTCGCCTTCATGCATAAATGTGCTCTTAGGTGATTGGAGGCAGTCGGCCACAATAAGTCTGGCCAGGATCTAGGTTCAGTGCTTGTTGACATTCACCCACCATCAGTCAGCAAGCCATTCCTGTGTGTCCACACATACATTCAAATTGGTAAATACAGTCAGAAGAAGAAACATCATGTTTCGCATGATCAAACGGCTTACATTGATAAATATATTGGCTTCACATTCTCAATTATTCTGATATTAGCTGCATAAAAATTCTTTTTAACAGCAGCGTCTAATCTTTGCGGAGTTATCAAGCTGCTATGATCACCCATGTGTGGGGTAGCTTCATGTACACTCCACAAAGATTAGACGCTGCTGTTAAAAAGAGTTTTTATGCAGCTAATATCAGAATAATTGAGAATGTGAAGCCAATATATTTATCAATGTAAGCCGTTTGATCATGCGAAACATGATGTTACTTCTTCTGACTGTATTTACCAATTTGAATGTATGTGTGAACACATATACATACATAAGAGGGAGGTCTCATCCATCTCTGCAATTTAGGGCTCTCTTCACAGAATATCTCAAAATGGCTTCAGAAGCAAAGTGAATCTGCAGAACCCATTCATGGTAAGAACAGACGACGACCTAGATCCTCTATTGCGAGACATATCACAGAGGTGACGGGACATAAAATTAATGTTTATACGTCTTTTAAACCTATCTACAAAACGTTTTCAAGGGAGAGCGTATCGTTAAGTTTGTGGAAGCCCTAGGTATTAATTAGAATGTTTAAACCACTGTTATACTTTCAAAGTAGCAATTCGTCATCTCAGTAAGCCTACCTTCCCTGGTAAACTTTGTTTTGATACTACCGACCTTTTCCTTCTTTGGTCCAGTGATCTGCTTTGTTATTTTGACCTTCAATATGGGCTGGACTTATTCGTCACGTACTCTAGAAGTTACGTTTGGAATTTTTTTTGCCAATAATTTTTAATAAAATTGTATTATATGTTATCTAGATTGAGGGAAATTCCCACTTTTTGGCTGGTTATGTTGGTGTCCGCCTCATGTGATCTGACTGCGACACACTTTTAGCATATTGGTTGCAATGATTAGTGTTTCAGATGGAATGTATCAAAATGTCGGTGTAATGAGGGAGATAGGATAGTTAGAGGGTAATGCCATTTACACCACTCATTTACTCCATGTAGAAGCTGCATCTTTCGGCATAGTATCATTCAATGAAGACTTCATGTCTCAGGATATCAGTACAGCCTATTTTCGTGTGAAGAACAGTCTTTTTTGACAAAATAATTCTCTCAATACTTGGAAATCACCTGAAAATGTTATCAGAATCGTTGGTGGGAACCTAAGTTGTCATTTAGATGTGCTTTTCACTTTATCTGTGGTTGGACAGGAATTATGGTAAGTTGAAAGGTTATCTCTAAATGGATTTCATATATATTGGCACTGGTTGGTGCAGTGTGCTATGTTTTGGGTTAATTAAATGTACAAAAATATCTCAACTATAATAATATTGTGCCATTGTGTACTAAGCTGACTGATAGGATAACAAACGAAGGTGGTTACTAGAACTGAATCTATTCAGCTTTATTATCATTAATATGAATTTATTCTCTTTTACAATTTCCACTGACTGTATACTTAATGCTACAATATTTTTGATCACCAATAGTGGAGATGAATTTCTCCTGAGATTTCCATTTAGACAAAGCAGTACAGATGCTCTATGACGATTGAATTTTCTAGTTTGCATTATATGACATTATTATCCTCATCAACACAACAGGTCTGTGTACTTTACAATAGTTGAAGTGTTTCACTATGTTGTTAGCACTGTGCATAGCTGTCTAGAGTTGAGGCATGTTCAGCTTATATTTGATGCCTATAGTCTCCTAAATGTGAAAATGTGATTTCTGTAGGATTCACAAAACCTTGTGGACTAGACATTACTGAGATTGTGGATTAACTTCTAAGTTATACACTTGCAATACTTCATTTCATGTAAAAGTGTTTAGTGTGAAGTTGATCTGCAAGTAAGCTTGATGAGAGAATGACGCCTCAATAGTATGAATGTTTCGGAGATTGCCTTGAAATTTGCATATAGTCCTCAAATGCAGGAAAACATATGATGTATATTTATGTATACGGCGTCAACATAAATATCAGCTGTAGACTACAAATACATTTATCTCCCTGAGATAATACTTAGTTTTAACAGAATGATTGTATTCATATTGTATGCTAATATGTAGAATTATCTCTTGTTAACTTCATGTTATGCTAGTTCTAACATGTACTTTATTTTTTCCAGGTATACGGAGGTTGTCGAATATGAAATCAGCGGAAACATCATTCGGTCAAACTAACTTTATTACCCTTCATCAGAATTTTCTTTTGTAAATTAATCAAATGTTTAATATACTCTTGATTACTTCTTCCTGTAGACTTCTTCAATTCCTCGCTATACAATGTGCTTTTGTAATAAGTGAATTAGGAATAATAAACGCTAAGCTTAGTTAGTGGGATGGAAATTCACTGTAGTATTATGAGAATGTTACTTTAGTCATTATTAGGATTTCGTGTCTGTTTCTACACAATAGCACATTGTAAAAGCTAAGTGGGATTTAGCAAGTTGAATAATAATTCTGTACTGTTGGATACTCTAAAGTCGCCTTATCTAACCAGTTGAAAGTCTGTTTACTGTTAAACGCCAAGTATGTAGTACAAGTAAATGTAGTAACTTAGGCTTGATATCTACTTCACTAATCCGTTAATATGCAGTGACATCATCAAATAGACTGTTCACTTGACGATCAGCTAAGAAACATTTTTTATTTATTTTAATATGCCGTTGAATCATAGGATGTTATCTAGTATCCATCATTTCTGTGGTCAAAAACTGCGGTATTTGCATGTCTACTTTATAGATGTTAAATAACCTACGCCTGTATGCATGTAATTACCTCCAGTATTTCCTATTCATTTGGTGTGTGTAAACTAAACAAGTCTTTCATAAATTCTCCCATAAATGCCAAACTGTACTGTACTAAGATGAACAGCTCTCTATTAGGAGTGAGAACATGCTCTTAAACTAAGTCCTTCGAAATGTCAGACTGTTATTGTCAGTTTCCGATGTAAACGAAAGTTAGTTGAAGGTGTTAATTCCTATGACCGTTGCAAAATTGATAATAGTGATATGGAAATGAAGTCTAACTTGAAGCATCTCCGACTAATTCATCACAGCGTATTGGCCCTAAATGTATGCCATATGCAGGCATAATGTTTATGAGCTAGGTATGCAAATCAAGGTAAACGCTTGTACGGTACATTCATTATTTATAAAACTAACTCATACGTAAGAACTGTGGTTTGATCAGTTATACAACGTTTAATACATTTAGACACAAATAACCTACGATGCTTACTTCTATGACGCGTTACCTAAAACTACATTAATATAGTCTCCTATAGCTACCACCCTAGTGGGCAACTCGTTATCTTTGAAT